AAAAACAATTAATGTTCAAACAATTGAATAAATTTAAAAACTTTCTTGATAAATAATATAAGTGCTGTATTGAAATTAAATTTCCCATTATTTCATAAGTACAATAAGAATCAGTAGATTTTGCAAAAAAAAAATTCACAAAAAACGATATCACTGCTCTCTGCTAGTATTAGAATGTTTCTTAGATAGATAAGCGATATCAAACTGTATTGCTTATTTATCGACCAAAATTATACCGAAATTTTTTAATCAATTTTTTAAAAACTTTAAACAATTTTTTTTTTAAACAGAAAAACTTAAAAGAATTAACGCTAAATAAAGTTATAATGTATCTCAGAGAATTAAGTTTCAATATTGAATAAGACAAATATTTTAAAAAACGATCAAACAAAGAAACGTTTTTTTGTTATCGTGTAAGATAATCAGACCCGATTTGTGAAGTTAATATGATATTCTATAAAATATTAATATAAAAAAAAAATAATGACAGTTCCAATAGCACTTTCCATAATTCTACAATAATAAATTACAATAAGAACAATAAATTGATGGACTCCTTCTATTAATATAATAATAAATCGTAATAAAAAAGGCAATAGGAGTCATCGCAAAAAGTAATTGCGCAGTGTCAAATATTAAAATTGTAAGATAATTAATTTTAATATTTGACACTACGCAATTACTTCTTGCAATGACTCCTATTGACTCCTTTTTTATTGCGATTTTTATCATAATTCTACAATTTCTTAAAAATAAAAAATTGTTCTACATTTTTTTATACTAAAAAACTAAAATTGGAAATATAATGTTGTGAGTCTAGCACAATAAATACTTCTTCTCTAAAGTAGAAAAGGAAAATATAAATACTTTTACTTTCGTTGTTCAAAAGAAAAAAACATTTCTGAGCAACAAAAAAATATAAAACATTTTCAAATATTTGCATGAGCCAAATTATCCAGAAACAATGAGTAAAGCACAGGATCCGATTACCTTTATTGTATATTCATATCTTATACAATTAACACTTGATGAAATGAATATTCAAATTTTCATATTTTTGCGTTTAAATTATTCAACAAAACAATGAATTCGGTAATGAATTGATTATTTCTGCGTTTGTCGATGTAGGGAATGCAGGATGATCCTTCGCCAGACACCCGTTTTGCGATAAGTCTTAAGTACCAACAATAACAGCACGCAAGGCTGACGTTTGCCAGATACGTCACAATTGGAGCAAGGGATTTCACGTACCAGCCAAAGGGATATTATTGTTATTGCTGCGGTACGGACGCACGGAAATCCCGGATTTCGCGGTAGGGACGTGGAGGATCGCAAGGGCCAAAGTCGGTTTAGTCCCCGTCGATAATTAAGCACCAACGATAACAACTCTCTGATGGAAGTTCCGAACTGTAGAACTTGCAGTGTACCTCGCAAAAATATGCAAACTTCTCCATTATCCTCTAATTTTTTCTTTTCATATTATTTTTATAATAATTAATTTACGACCCTTTTTAGTCAAACATTTTTAATACATACACTGAAAAAAATTCATATAATTTTACATGAAAATTACATGTTTATGATCGGAAAATTACTTAAATATGATTGGAAATTTACAATTTCCAATCTGATACTCAAGAAATTTTCCAGTCATAAACATGTAATTTTCATGTAAAATTACATCAATTTTTGCAGTGTAAAAGAAAAGAATTCTTAAAATTTATTCAAATATTTAATCGTCCTGTATAGTCTACAAATATATTCATAAATAATAAATACAAAATTTGAGGAAGTTGAAAAATTGAGAGTAAAAAAGTCTTCCACAAGTCATAATCTTATTATAATTAAGCTGTGACAGTTCGCACGTCGTCATCTTTCAGCGAGAGCGTGCCTTCATATAAAGGATTTTCCACAGGCTTTTAATTAGTCTCTCACTACTTTTCTCAAAAATAACCAAAGCGGTTTTCTACAATTGTTCCTGAATTACTTTCGCTTACGTTTGCAGATTCATTTCGCCGCAGGCGTTTGCCGTTTTAATTCCTTTAACAAAATGGCAAAATGCGCTGCATGAAGAACGTCATCCGGTGCAGAATATACCGAAACTGAAGGTTTAAAGGCACGGAAGGAAAAGCGAGGTGGATGACGCAGGATGGCCGGGACAGAAACATGAAAAGTATGAAACCCGCGAGAAACATCTCCGTGGTTACACTGAGACTTGGCGTACATTTCTTCTTGCACCGGATCAGCCTTCCGGTATAATATTTCCGGTTTGCGCAATACCGGCCATGGTGCGGAAAAAACGGATGAAACGTAGGTATATCGTGAAAAGAAGAGAGGAAAAGATGAAAAGAGATAAATTTCCGTTAATCACGCGAAAAGTTCTTTTATTTCTTTATTGTTAAATCAATTTAAAAAATTGTTGGGTGGAATAAAGGAATTAAATAAAATTAAAATTTGTTATACAAAAAACTATTAATAGATATTATTATAAATAAAATTATTTAAATGTATGTAATGTTTTTTAATTATTGTGTTAATTTTCAATTAAATAATAATTATTAAATATCTGGTTTTTTATTTACCCGCAAAATATTTACTATATTCTTTGATTTAGGAAAATAACTCGAATCGTATATTCACGCATAAATGCGCCGTCAATTAAAATTACAATGATTATTACTAGAAATTTAATTGTATTGTATATTGTTATACGGAATAATAAAATACAAATTATTATTCTATATAATAGCCGAATGTTACGGTACAAATGCACAGACTTTTTATCAGTTTACCCTTGATAATTAACAATTAATAACATCTTTCAGTACATCAAATAGAGTTTAAATAAACGAATGGTCGATTAGGTAGGTACAATATTAAACAGTTAAGGTTATATTCTAGCTGATTTATAGTATATCGCCCAACAATTCTGTCCACATTTTTATGTTTATGTTGCAAATACGCACGCAGTGAAGTAAACAATGTAAACGCGCGGACGACTCTTAAATTCTCGCCAATATGAATTTTTAATTTTCCTGTGCTTTACGACTGGGTATTAAAATACAGCAGGGGAGTGAGGTAGAAACGAGGGAAAGTACGGAAGCCGCGGTCTCGAAGGCGGAAGCGCAGAAGGCGAATGTATAGAGCCTCGGGGAATCCCCGGCGGAGTTATATTTTTCTCCAAGAGCACCTCTCCGACTACGCGATTGCCCTGAGATATGCGATTACGCGAATTTATTGGTGTATAATACCTCGCGGGCTGGGAAAGAGGAGGGATCGATGCGCCGCTTATACACAAATTCGAAATCGATACGCAATATACCTTTGCCACCGTGTTTTCCCAGCGATATTCTATACGGAACAAAGCTAATCTGTGGGAAGTCTATGATTATTTCGTCTTTCCCATTGAAGTGTACACAATAAAAAATATGTAATATACAATTTCTAGAAACTAATTGAGCTCGAGATTGCGAAGCAAAACTTACGCGCGCTAAAAATATATTTTTCAACGTAAAGTTTCTACTATGCTCTAAGAAAACACACAGCGTTATGAGATCAATATTATATCAGAGACATAAAAGAAAAAGGTAATAAAAAATTTGTTAGCGACAAAAATGACGAATAATTATTAAATTCAGAGACTAGCAAAAATGTAATTAAAGAATTATCAGTTTTTATTAAAAGCGAGAATCAGAATGTGATTTATTTCAAAATAATACTGATTCTGTGGTGTAAATTAAATTGATTAACTATTAATATAACAACAATATCCAAGTGAATTTAAATATTTAAAAACTAGCGTTCACAAATACACACAACGTGAAACAAATGAATGGAAATTCGGACGCTGCTCGTTCGCTGCGCACGAAAACGAGAAGGGATGATAATAATAAAGTGACGTGGCGGAGAAATTATTTTGAAGAGTTCGCGCTGAGGGAACTTAGCGCGCGAACAGTGGCTACGGCAAAGGCGGTTGGTATTAGGTGCAGAAACCGACTGAGTTACGAGGGGTTATAAATTCCGAATATTGGAGTTCTGCCCTGTCGTTCTCCATCCTCTCCTTCTTCGGCGTCCTACATCCTCTATTCGGTACAATGGGAAGAATCTCCTTCTATCCACGCGACTCGTCTTGACCCACTATTATGTCGGGCCACACAAAAATAGAATCTATATTTGACCGGTCTATACAGAAACATTCCGTATAAAGACGCGAACTCCCTGTATGTACGTGCTCGTATTCTGTTTATTATGCACATAAAATAGGGCAGAATCCCATTGACCGTTGCGCGCCAAGAGAACCGAGAAAACGCATCGCTGGGCGATCTAAATTCTTTAACCCCTTCGAGTCTGATGATCGTAAACTCTTATTGTTCGTGCCATGGCATCGTTTCGCATATCTTACGATTATTAGAGAAAGATTTCGTTTTTGGTTTACGAGGATGGAGTCCTCGGTAACGTATTGATATAAATACTTACTTACGTAAAAACATACGGAAAATACAATCTCTTTCAGAATGTATATTTCACGTACAATACATGATATCATTTTTTATTAAAAACGCAGCTTTCAATTCAAAATCATTTTCAAGAAAATATTTTGCATGCAAGCAAAACGACAACTGATATTTAATGCAATAACGAAACGTAGGATATTTTATTTTTAATCAATCGTGAAAATGTGCTGTGCACAGCCTCCTTTCATTAATCTTTCAATAGATGGTTTAAAGTTTAAAGATACAAGTTGGTACGTGGGGTGCTCCGCGAACATCGTAAAATATTTTAATTTTATAGTTACATTTTTTACAAGTATATTATATTATAGTTAAATGTATATTAATTACATCTTTATGAGACAAAGAAATGTAAAAGTTAAGACTTCTGGACATCTGGGCATTACATTTTATTTTCCTTTTCCAGAACGGTTTTAAAGAAAACTACATCTGCGATGTTGTAGCCACCCCACGTACTCCACTTAAAGATTAATAAAGTTACTTGCTAACCTCCTTATCGGTGTTCTCATTCGTCCTTCCTGCTCCGACTCCGTTATTTGATTGCCCAACTACTGATCCATCTGAAAAGAAATATACAATCTATTTTATTTTTTGTCAATAAATTGCTAATTAATGTGTACTTTCTAAAAAATACAAATTTTTTTAAGATATCTCTTCTGTATAAATACCTTTTTGCACTCCCTGCATGTGGTCATGATTTTCTATCACATAACATTATAATCGCGTATACAATTTCGAATTTCGAACATTCGATTTATATATTTATATTGTGCCAATAGATCGAAAGATATTTTTACGTGTATATGTCTCTAACTATATTGAAAATGTCACTTACTATAACAACACGATTAAAAAACAAAATTCTCCAGAAAATAAGTTCGAATGTTTTAAATCATTTTTTAATCAGTTTTAAAATTTTGTAATATTAATTTTGAAATGCAATTTTGGTGTAATAATAGATTGTAGAGAAATAAAAGGTATTATTTTTTAAAAGTATGTTCTATCTTTTTTCTTTACTTTTCCATTCTTTTTCTAGAAGCAACTTTAGAATGATAACTTTTGCCAACAAAAAGATATCCTTACATATGTATATCTTTATTTATATTGGAAATATTGTTTATTGCAATAACACAATTAAAAAACATAGTTCTCCAGAAAATAAATTTGAATGTTTTAAATCATTAAAATCTGTAATATTAATTTTGAAATGCAATTTTGGTGTAATAATAGATTGTAGAGAAATAAAAAGTATTATTTTTTAAAAGTGTGTTCTATCTTTTTTCTTTATTTTTCTATTCTTTTTCTAGAAGCAACTTTAGAATGATAACTTTTGCCAACAAAAAGATATCCTTATATATGTATATATTTATATTGGAAATATTGTTTATTGCAATAACACAATTAAGAAACATAGTTCTCCAGAAAATTTAGTTTAAATATTTTAAATCATTAAAATTTTGAAATGCAATTTTGGTGTAATAATAAATTGTAGAGAAATAAAAGGTATTGTTTTTTAAAAGTGTGTTCTATCTTTTCTTTACGTTTCCATTCTTTTTCTGTAAGCGATCTCAAAATTTTCGAATTACGTGTAACAAATGAGCGATATTATTTTTCATTGCAACATTTCACTGAGTTTTCTAATTCCGCGTAACCTTTTCGAGATGATCTCTCTCCTGTCACACTTTCAGTTTATTCACTAAAAACACTCGAACGCAAATACGAATCGATTAGAAGAATCAGAGTCACTCCCGACGTTTATTCGCAGTTTACGCGAATACGACTTAACGAGTGAACTATGCATGTACAAACCGCGAACACCATCGAGGATCAACCGGAATAGTCGAAAGATCGCCTGACCACTGTTAAAACCAAGGTTAAAACGCAACGCACTTCACACGCGATCTGACAATACAACCGCACGCCACTTTTCTGATCGGCTTTCGATGTGGATTTTACGTAGGCGATAAAGCTCGCAAAAAAAAGGGGAGAGGTGAAACGTTGAGCGACGCGACGATGTTTACGCGTGACGTCATCACAGAGGAATGCGAAAGAACTCGGAAGCGACCAATGACGTTCTACTTACCAGATACAACGCCGACACCCAATCACAAACCGCGTCTCAAATTCAAAACGGCGCGACGCGATGTTTTCGAATAAATGCGTCACTGTTTCCGAAACACGCATCACTGATACCGCACGCGGAAGCGAAATGTGCTTCGGGCGAGAACGACAAGGTATTGTTTACGGGCGCGTGTCCTGTGCGTGATTCGAAATTCTCGGAAACAACGGAGACGCCCGAGACGGTGCGGGAAAGTGCGCCATCGACCGAGATCCGAATCGCACATACGAGTGAAACGGTTGAATACGCATCGCTGCGTATGAATTTCACATGGCACTACGTATTGCGCTGTATCAACTGATCAACATCGATCGTCGTAGATCCGTGATCTGAGAAGTAACGCTTTCGCAGAGCTTGTGAATTTGCCATCCGTTCGGATCGTTTACGCCACGTAAGTGTATGAGATTCGTATCCGAAAGTTTTGCGTTCAATACGTTCTGAAATGTACTGAAAATAGTTTACATTACTGATATTACGGGTGCTAAGATTGTCAATATTGTAAAGCTAAATGGATGCTTTTGAGTTAATGACATAAATCGACGTATAAATATCATCCTCTCTTTCTTATACTTATCTTGTTTAACACATCCTTTAATAATAAGAGATGCGTTTCGTTTTATGCATGATGTGCGTGATATATCATTTAATATTCGGTGAACAAGAAGAATAAAATAGTACATCATATGTGAAATGGAAAACTCAAGATTGAAATGATTCCTAGAATATTACAGAACATTAACGCAATTTATGAGCGTCAAATGGCAGCCTTGGATACGTTCAATACATGCTCAATACATTTCAGAACGCATTTTCTAAGGCTTTATTTGGAAACGTCATCCGATTGCCTTCACTGAGAGAAAAAATTGCTATAATCGCGAAAGGTTACACAATTAATTATCAAATTTGTTTACTGTTTATAGCAATTTGCATATTTGACAAATATTTTGCATTTGTTGCAAATAATTTTTATATATTGAGTACAAAAAAGAAGAAATATTTGTTATATCTTCTGCAATTTAATTTGCATCTTTATATTTGCAAATAAATTTGCGGTCATGGCACGGGATTAGCGTTCACTCAGTGAGAAAAATGTTTGGTTAAAAATGGATAAACCAGGAGATTCTGATTGTATTAATTAGAATTCCTAGAATTATTTAAACTAGAGAATTTTAGTAGATTTAATTAAAAATTGTCTAATCTGGGAACACAGTAGACGTTAAGACATGACGTGAGACACTGACGTGTGTAAAATTTTTCAATTTTTTCTATTATTTAAAAATAAAAAATTAGCTCAAGGCTACGCTTTCAGCGCTTTACAGTATTTCTATTCTTATTTTACGTTTAATGAATAATAAAGACAGAATGATAATTATAATCGCTTAAAGAGCGTGAGTGTCAAAATTAACCGCAGCCTAAATTTGTAGAATATATATACCTACTTATTAATTTGGACGAAAGTATCGAAATCAATAAGACATAAATATAAAAATATTAGTAAAACACAATTTTAATAGTTATTTGACACTCTAATAATAGTATCAAAATAAAAAAAAGAGATCCTTTGGATGTCGAAACAAATTTTCCCAAGAAACCGTCGGAAGTAAAGGGGGTGGGGGGGACCTTTTGACTGGTCAATTATATTAAACAGCGAATGCGATTGATCAGTTAAACGCCGTTTAAGTAATTGATGTTTGTGAAACCGGCCCCATGTCTTGAATCGTGTTTTTCTCGCCAATTTAACTGCACGGAGGTGTCAAACCGATTTCGGGCACATTAATAATTAAAATGTACTACATGCGAGAAACACCTTCTTCAACTCGCATCGCGATCAGCAGGGACATGGCCACCCAAGGCATCAGATTCTATCGCCTGAATTATGTTTAATCGGGGCAAGTAGCGACACGCAACGCATTGAAAGAGTTACTTGATGAATAATTAATAAGCAGATGCGACTCATATGTCACTTTTGAAAGTATATCATATCAATGCGCGTATAATTATTGAACGGAAATTGGTTTGGACGACGCAGCCGGCGATGAGAACGACGGAGAGTCTAATGGCAAGTTCATTATTGCATTTATTACTCGCAAGATTATGATCTGACAATTTCATATGTTATAACAGTAATATGCAACGATTAATTGACACTAGGAAGAAGCAAAGATACACGCTGAATTAATAGTTGCTGGCGACGCGTCGAGAATGATGTAGTCTGATAAGTCCATTATTGCACGCATTTATTATTCACAAAATTATCTCTGATAATGATTCTATACGTTATGATATCTAGTAGTAATATGCAGCGATTAATCGACACTGGGAATTAAATAACACAGATACTGGGAATTGAATACTGGGAATTGAATACACAGCCGATCGATTTAACAGATATTCTTGCTTTTTTATATAATTTCCATAAAAAGACCTGAGAATCGTAATATATCAAATTGAATAAAAAATTTGAATTAAAAGTAACAAAAATTGATTCTTTTTTTGCTGGTATACAATAATTATTACATCTTGGGAAATAATTAGACATTGATATTTTTTTACGTGATTTCCATAAGAAGATTTGAGAATTGTGTTAAATACGATAAAATTAAAAATTTATATAAAAATTATTCTCCTTTTTTGTGTATTTATACTTTGGGAGGATTCCTTTTATCTACAAATCTGTTGCCTACATCACTTTTGCCTACAATTCGTACAGTTGCCTAAACGTATTATTGCCTACAACTCAATTGCCTACAAACACTTTTGCGCACAAATAAAAATTTTAGAAACGGATTTACTTTTGCCTACACACACACACACACAAGTATTATTGTCTATATATATTATTGCCTACAGCTCGATTGCCTATAAGCACTTTTGCACACAAATAAAAATTTTAAAAATGGATTTACTTTTGCCTACAAGTATTATTGTCTATATATATTATTGCCTACATGTATTATTGCCTACAGCTCGATTACCTACAAACATTATTGCCTACAGCTCTATTGCTTACATGCATTTTATTTGCCATTAAATACTATTTTATCTTTTCCTTTGTTTCATGTAAGCAAGAGTAATACTGGTTCTAAAATTTTTATTTGTGCGCAAAAGTGCTTGTAGGTAATGGAGAGTGCTGTAGGCAATAATACATGTAGACAATCGAGCTGTTGGCAATAGTACATGTAGTCAAATGTGACATTTCTCTGAAAATTTTTATTTGTGCACAAAGGTGTTTGTTGGCAATAATACATGTAGGCAAAAGTACTTCCGTTTCTAAAATTTCTATTTGTGCGCAAAAGTGCTTGTAGGCAATACTACATATAAGCTATCGAACTGTAGGCAAAAGTAATGTAAGCAAATGACACTGTAAATAATAGATTTGTAGGCAAACGGAATCCTCCCTAAAAATTCATATGAAAATGATTCTTTTTTTATGTATGATTTTCGTATCATGGCGAATTAACAAACACTTACTTTTTTACGTGATTTCCATAAGACTGAGAATAATGATTTATATGGTAAGTTTAGAATTAAAATAAAAAATTTCCGATTCCTTTAAAATTGGTGATTTCTTTTTTGTGGGATTTTTATACCTTGTCGAATTAAAAAACATACATTATTAAACTTAATGCTCAATTAAAAAGCGCAAACAATAGAAACAGGGACTAACAAATTTCAACCAGAAATCATTATGTATACCAGAACATATAATTTCTGATAGATTGAAATCTTTTATTCTTTGTTCCTGTTGCCTGTACTTTTTAATTGTACCTCAAGCTTTACTTTCCATGATTTCCATAAGAAGATTTGGGAGTTATGATAAACTCGATAAAATTAAAAATTCACGTGAAAATTGGCGACTCCTTTTTTACGTATGTGGTTTTTGTATCTTCGCGAATTAACAGACATTGTTGCTTTTTCGTGCGATTTCCACAAGAGGATTTGAGAAAGTCATGAAAATGTGATAGAATTAAAAATTCACGCGAACAATTTGGCAGTCCAATTTCTTTTTCTTGCGAGCGTAGCTTTTGTACTCTGATTACGCAGAGATAAAGCGTGTCTCGTCTGCATACACATAGAACTCACTAAGAAATTAACTTCCGATTGTTAATCTGTCGCGAGTACAAAGCGCTACGTTATAATGCTCTCATAGGGCTAGCTAAGGTTTTAAGGTCGAGAAAGACGAGGAATATAGAAACGATATTATACGGGCGCCCTTTCCTTCAAGACGTAAGAATTTCTCGACCGAAAGCGGCGAAAGCGCTACTCTGTTTTATGTGTATATACTGGGTGTGTCTAATCAAACTCGTATAATCCATTTCTCACGACGGATATTATTTAATAAAAGTATTCAAATTACATTTCGAACGTATTCCGACAATTCGAAAGACATGTTTCAATAATATATAATATGCACATTCTATCGTGTAAGATAATTGAAGTTACTACCATTAATTCAGTAATATTATGGTATCGAGGTATTCTCGAGAGAGAATACGTCGAATTCACGTTCCGCAAAGTAACTAAAAGTTTTGAACCCTTAAGCAAAATATCGAACAAGACCCTCGGTATTGTTTTAGTAATGAAAAGCTTCGTGAAATTAAAAAAGATGAATTGAATTGAGTAAATTTATTTTTATTTTATAAGCCTAAAAATTTACAATTTCTTAATTTGTTCAAATCATATTACTTTAAACTTTATTGTTCTATAATTTCTTCTAACTTTTCAATATGTATTGAATATATAAGTTTAAGACTGTAAAGTTTAGAATTTTATTTCTTTGTAATTTTCTAACGTCATTTTCCGGCAGACATCGCGTTTGATAAAAGCTTCGTTGTCTTTATTATTCTTGCGCATAATTCTTGTTCTTATAACATTATTGAAGAAAGACGTGATTAACCCGTCACACCCTGTATATAAACGTGAGAACGAAGAGACGTTCGCGCAACGAGGTCGCTGTTCTTTTACTAATTAAAGCCTCATTCTTTGATCTTAAAAGCGCGAGCTGGCAAATAGAAGAAACTGTCGATTTTCCGGGCTAACGCTCGACTGCACAGATCTCGAGTTCACTACTTCTTCGTCGAGAGTCGCTCTCCTTTTATCCGTTTGTGACGTCTTGGCAGAATGTTTTAGGAAAAATATCCTCTGCCATTACGGGAAAAATGCGCGAGATTCCTTTGGATTATCCAATACTTTTCTTAATTCCTAGTTTTATTTGTTATCCGATAATTGTTAGTAAATGTAAGGTATTGTGAAGAATGTATCCCGTTTAAGATGCTGTGAAAAATTTATTCATTTGAAATAGAAGCGTTTACTGTAGAATTAAATTTAAAATACAATTCATATTGTGGAGGTTCGGAATATATAGTATAAAAGTAACTTTTACGAGTATAT